ATCCATGGTAGATTGCAAAGTGTATGACTTTGAAGTCAAAGAGAACTTGCTGAATACCAGGTCTATCACTTAGGACGTAACATCAGACAAATTACTTCATCTCTGTGAGCCTGTTTCTCAACTAAGATAATAAGACATTCACCTCTCAGAACTATCAGGAATATTAAATGAGATAATACAGACAGTGCAAAACATGATCTTAGGATACCGTTAAATGAAAGGTTAAGAATAGAGTAGAAGCACCTGGCTGGCTCAGCTGACAAAGTGCGAGACTCTTGATCTCAGGGTTATAAGTTCGAGCCCCACATTGGGTATAGAGATTACTGAAAAATAAAAATCTTCAAAAATAAAAAATTCTTTTTAAAGAATAGAGTAATAAAAATGTTCATCTGTGAGTTTGAAAGTGGGTTTACAGTTTGTAATGTTTAAATGTTAATTCCTGTTCAATACATAAAAGAGTACATCTTAAATAAATATTTACATTCAGTTTTATTTTTTTAAGTCCTTATCAAAGATACACATTCAAGTAGTTAGAAAGTGAAATGGAAAAAAAAAAAAAAAGGAAGTGAAATGACATGTGTCTGAGACTTGCTTTAAAATATGCCAGTCTCCTGGGCGGCTCAGGCGTTAAGCGTCTGCCTTCGGCTCAGGTCATGATCCCAGGGTCCTGGGATCGAGCCCTGCATCAGGCTCCCTGCTCAGCAGCAAGCCTGCTTCTCCCTCTCCCACTCCCCCTGCTTGTGTTCCCTCTCTCGCTGTGTCTCTGTCAAATAAATAAAATCTTTAAAAAAAAATATGCCAGTCTCCCAACTCCTGTGCCAAACGAACAAAAAATGTAGAGACAGCTGAAGCTGGGTGATGCATACATGGAATATCACCATACTATCCTACTTCTGTGGGTACTTGAAATTTTCCATATTAGAAAGGTTTTTTTTTTAAAACCTAACAAAAACAGGGGCGCCTGGGTGGCTCAGTCAGCTAAGCGTCTGCCTTCAGCTCAGGTCATGATCCCAAGGTCCTGGGATCGAGCCCCACATCGGGCTCCCTACTCAGCGGAGAGCCTGCTTCTCCCTATCCCTCTGCCTGCTGCTCTGCCTACTTGTGTTCTCTATCTCTCTGTCAAATAAATAAATAAAAAATCTTAAAAAAAAAAACTAACAAAAACAAACAGATATTAAAAAAAAAAACAAAACCCTAAGAAAAACTATGCACATCACTAATAAACTCCCAAGAAACCAATGTTTCCATCTGAAACTTCTAAAGACAAGATAACACCGGTCATTTCAGCCAAAAGTACATAAAGTATTTTATTTATTTATTTTTTTTTTTAAGATTTTATTTATTTATTTGACAGAGACAGAGATAGCGAGAGCAGGAACACAAGCAGCGGGAGTGGGAGAGGGAGAAGCAGGCTTCCCGTCGAGGAGGGAGCCCGATCCCAGGACCCTGGGATCAGGACCTGAGCCGAAGGCAGACGCTTAGCAACTGAGCCACCCAGGCGCCCCAAAAATACATAAAGTATTTTAAAATTACTCTCAACATAAAGCATGTCTTATCTCTTCATTAAATACTAACTACATAGCAGTACCTTCTCTTTCTTTGGTATTATTATTCTTCCACCTGGTAGAACAGCCCAGGGTATATTTTTCCTTTTTCCCCTTTATACATTGTTACATTTTTTATGACTAGCACTACTACTAGTTCTATATATATATATACATGTATGTAACCTAACATATATGTGTATACATGTATATACACTAACACATGCCAACACCACACACACACACACACAACCAGGACTACTATCCCATTATTAGTACTATTACATCTACTATTTAATAGTGGACCCACTGGGTATACTTGACCTTTTAAAAAGCATGACTCATCTGAAAGGGCTCAAAAAAAAAAAAAAAAATCCCTCACATAACACATAACATTCACAATAGCAGCCAAAGTGACTGAGGAAAAGCTGTGAACTATAGTCCATATGCAGGTTTACTGTAGTTTACACACAGATTTTCAATTTGTTGATATACCATACATTAGACAAACTGAAAGTATCAGTTGAAATTATTTAAAGGTAGCCATAAATACCTTCAAATAAAGTTTGTAAGTGAATTACTACATAACTTTGAACACTAGAGAGAATCTTAAAATATTTGAGCTCAAGACTGAACCTAACACTATATACCCCCATGTTGTTTCAAAATACAAATGTTTACTACCATTTAAATACTCACATGCTTTGCCTTTCCATAATTCTAATAGCAAGTACACAGAGAACAGTCTCCTCCAAATTTGTATCCAAAGGGATAAAGAAGGAAACAAAACAAACAAACAAAAAACAAAGAAAACCCAAAGGGATAAAGAAGCACATTATATCAACTTCCCTATCAAATAGTACTACTTAGCAAAAAGCAAATACAAAATATGTTCCATAATTTCACTTCAAATGTGTCTAGGCAGTTTCTTTCTTTAATTCAGGTATGTGCTTTCAAACACATAAATCAGATCGAACTAATTCTCAGACTAAGTGGATTTAAATGTTCTTTTGCTGTCTTTAAAGAAAAAAAAAAGGTAGTTTAAAATAGCTCCACCTCCAGAAGCTTGGCAGGCTCAGTCCCTAGAGCATGCAACTCTTGATCTCAGGGTTGTGAGTTCGAACCCCACATTGGGTAAGGAGCCTACTTAAAAATAAAATAAAAAAAGAAAATAGTTCCACTTCCTAAAGAACATACATGGTCATTCATGGTACTCTTTTTTCAACTTTTATGTATATAAAATCAGAGGAAAATTAACTAAATTATAAATTTGGAAAGCTCTGCTCCCCAAAATACCCCCAACTACAATTTACATGATACTTTTTCTTCCTCTGGAGCATAAAACTGACTTCATTGGTTTATTCATCCTCAATCTGTTGGCAATATTTACTGAGTCGCATCACTGAATTAAGTAATCTGGAAAGTTACAAAGGAAGTAAAGGACCTAGTAACCACCCTCAAAGAGTTTATACATCCTCTCCATAAGGGAGGAAAAACGTAGTTACTGAAAGAGTATCCTTGCTGAGAATCTTACAGTCAAATGTGGAGCAGGGACTCCATTTTCAAGCCAGATTCTCTGCACTAAGTAATGCAAGACAGTACCTACAAAATTAAACAGACTCCAACAGTGGTCAAATCTGTTATTTATGGATTATATAAGCTGCTACACACTTCTACTGAATGACAAAGGAAGCCTGCTCTTGTAAGTGGAGGTTTCCAAATGTCCCTAATGTACACAAAGAGACGTACTCCAAGCATGGGCCATTTTTTGCCACTATGCCTAATAACATCCTATTTCTGCCATAAGCCACAAACAAAGTGTTTGGTCACCAATATTAGGGTCCTACTCTGAGGGAACAACATCGATTTTATATCCTCAAAGACCAAATAGAAAATTCCAAAAAACCTGACAGTTAAGAATGTCAGCTGTATCTACTAGAGAAGTAGCTGAAGAATAAAGAATGACAATGAATTATCCTTCTAGTCTTCAAGTTGTAGATTTGTGAGAAGTCATTTGCCGCCCCACATTTCTTTTGGCTCAGGAAATTTCCTTTCTCTCTGTCTTCGGATTATGTATGTCTTTTCCTCTTATGAATTACTCTGTATAGAATACTAGAGCAGGTATCACAGTGGGACGGGGCGGGGGGGGGGGGGGCGGGGGGGGCGGGGAGGACTGCCAAGCCTAGCAATTTTCTACAAACCAGCGATCCCATGATCATGAACACCTTACAGAATTCTAATGATACAACTTCCCACACAAAACTGTATCAAGCAGCAGTTTCATTCTATTTGTCAACCTCTAGGTCTAATTCTATACACCTAAATCTTTTTTTAATATTTTATTTATTTATTTGAGAGAGAATGAGATAGAGAGAGCATGAGAGGGGGGAGGGTCAGAGGGAGAAGCAGACCCCCCGCTGAGCAGGGAGCCCGATGTGGGACTCGATCCCAGGACTCCAGGATCATGACCTGAGCCGAAGGCAGTCGCTCAACCAACTGAGCCACCCAGGTGCCCTATACACCTAAATCTTAAAAAACAAGCAAACAGACAAACAAAAACCCCACAACCCTACCAGAGTTGCTCCCAAACTTTGAGAATTTTCAAATATGTCTGCAGCATTAAATCAAGAGAAGACATGTCAGTTAACTGACTCACATTAAAGAGTATTAAATCTAGATTTCATTAAAAGGTACTCTAAAATCATATTCAGACGTCAGAAAGGCAAGATCCCACAACCCAATCACAAATACTGTATAGGTATTAACAGCTTCGACTGCTGTCCCCCCACCAAAACTTTTCAAGCTTTGGGACTCTAATTTACTTGGAGTAATAGCTTGAGATTCACTACAAATTGACCAAAAGAAATTAAGGAAAAAAAAAAAAAGATACATTAGCTTCAACACCCTATTTGATAACACGAATTTGCTAAATTACAAAAGAATGGGGTAAAGACAGTAAATTCGGTATTGACTACAATACACATGAGAACAGAACCTGAGTTACCTAGACAAACGTTATCTACTGCCAATAAATAGATCATTTCTTAACAGCTTAGGTACGCCCGCCGACCATTTTTCATGTTTAAAAGGGCTGCTACGAACTGTCCAAGTCTAAACAAATAGCCAAATTCTAAGCAGGTCTTCCGCGAGGAGCCACTGTGCTTAGAGCATCACACAAAAGACCGGAGCAAACATAAACACGCTCTGGGCCTTCGCAGACAGCGGCCAGGAGCCAGGTCTGAGTCCCAGACCCCCGTACCAGAGAGGGAGTGAAAGCGGGCGGGGGGGGTCCTCTGCTCGGAATGCGCTGGGGAGCTAGTTAGAGACGGGGAGGGAAGGAGCGCAGCACTGAGGAAGAGAGAGAAGCAGCGGGCCGGCGTCAGCGGCGTCCAAGGCCGGCACCACCCTCGGGCCCGCACCAGGCCTGGCCCTCCCGGCCCCGTCCCGCCTCCTCACCTCCCTCACGTCCTGCAGGCACTCGAGAACCGCCAGGTTGTTGCTCCAGGTGTGCTTGGGACACACACGGGTCACGTCCTCCCTGCAGGACTCTTCCTCCGCCAGCTTCCAGCCCCCGCCAGCCCCGCCGGGCCCCGCTCCGCCCCGCCGGGCTGGAGGCCCACCCGCCGGGAAAGGCGGCTGCGGCGGCTGAGGCGGTTGCTGCGGCTGCTGCGGCTGGTGCTGGAGCTGAGATGACTGAGGCAGCTGGAGCAGCGGCTGACCTGCCGGCCCGCCGCCTCCAGTCTGCCCTACAAAGGCCGGAAAGTTGGCCCCGGGGCCCTGGCCCTGGCCGTGGCCGCCCTGGCCCGGGAGTTTCTGGGCCCCGGCCGCCGCGAGCAGCAGCAGCTGCAGCGCCGCCGACAAGCGGAACATCCTCCGTACACGTCCACACGCCGCCATCTTGGGTCCGCGGCGAGCTCGACGCACCCGCCGGCGCCGCGTATTTAAATGAGGGGCGGGCCCGAGGGCGGGGCCCGGTGGGGCCAGTCCGAGCCCCTCCCCGGCCGCCGCAGATCCGCGAGCCGGGAGCGGAACTTTGGGGGAGGCTGCGCTTGAAACGGCCCACGCCCTGGGCCCTGGAGGCTTTTTGCCTGGGGAATTGCTGGAGCGCCTTAAAAAGCCTGGGCTGGGCGGCTTTGCCTCATTCCCTTGGTTGTCGTCACAGAAAAATAAAGAGGATTTGGGATTGCCACAACCAAGATGGCCGGTAGAGTATGTCGCCTGTTCAGTGATTGGGGGGGAAAAACTAAAACAAAAAACTTTGTGTGTAGAGGTGAACTTTACACGATCAGGTGTATTCCGAAATCTAAGAGCCTCTTCTTGCATCTCTCCCTGCTGCTTTCTACCTGCCTCAATCTTTCTTACCCAGGAAGAAGGCAGTCTTGAATAATGGTTAGGAGCACAGATTCGGGGTAAGAGGAGACGCGGTTAAAATCTTTGCTCCCCTGCAGACTAGGCAAGTCCTTTACCTTTCTGAGCCTCATTCTTCTCGTCCCATGAAGAAGAGGAGGAGCTCTAATGTGAAATATAATTGTGAAGATTAGAAAAAAAATGATAAGGGAAGTGCCTAGCCCACAATATAGAACTTAAAAAGTTATAGCCAATATTAATAAACTGGGAAGCCTTTTGTGCCAGAGTCCTGATGGTAGACCAGAACTTAACCTCGTGTTTAAAGGAGGAAAAGAAAATAACAAAACAGGTCTTTGAGGTCTTAGGTTTCAAAGTCTATGCCTTGCGGAACTGTTTCTGCTGACGGGCATGCAGCATCTTCATATTGTGCAGAGATTGGTTGTTTCAGTTCACACCGTATCCCCTCCCTTTCCTTAGAGGAGAGATAATACCTTCTCAAAGGTCTTCACGTCGATTGTCATTTGAGCCTTGTATCAGGCCTGGGTTGGATTCTAATTCAACTGAGGAATGGCACAGAGATGGTAACAAGTTCTCCACAGCAGGGTTGAAACACCTGCCCAGGATGAACTCTGCCAGCCTGGGAAGAGGATCGGGGAGGCTTCTCACTGCCCTGGTGCACTTTTATCCCATTCTACCAGTACAGCATATTGAGGAATGAGGATAGCTAGGGGCATAGGATCCCAACTGGGATGTTCAAAATGTTCAAAACTGCAACTTCTTCTGTCCTGACCCACAAATGGGCAATGAAGATCAAATCAGACATAACTAGAGTCTAAGAAGTTGGGGGGGTGCTGGGTGGCTCAGTAGGTTAAGTGTCATACTCTTGATTTCATCTCAGGTCATGATCTCATGGGTTGTGAGATCAAGCCCCACCTCAAGTTCGTGCTCAGCAGGGAGTACGCTTGAAGATTCTCCCCTGCCCCTCCCCCCACTTGCACGCTCTCACAGGCTCTCTCTCTCTAAAATCAGTCTCTTTTTTAAAAGATTTTATTTATTTATTTAAGAGAGAGAGTGTGAGAGAGAGAGCATGAGTCGGGGAGAGGGGCAGAGAGAGAGGGAGCTGGAGGCAGGGCTAGATCCCAGGACCCTGAGAAGACAGCCGCTTAACGACTGAGCCACCCAGGCACACCTGAAATAAATAAATCTTAAAAAAAAAAAAAGAAGAAGTTGGGTGGGGATTCAGAGACCCCATAAGGAATCCCGGAGACCGAGAATATCCTGGGAGTACAAACCCCCCACTATGGCTGCCAGCAGGTCTCTATCTTTGGGAATGAGGGTATGTTGGCATCTGTGCCAACACTCCCCCTCCACCCCGCTACTGCCAGAAAATGGTCCTGAGGCTGATGCTAACTTTAGCATTGACTAAGGCAGCCCAGGATTGACCAGATAAACATACATATTCATTAACAGATAACGGCATAGGTAAGTTGTCAGTTAGCAGGCTGGAGACGTCACCAGAAGTTCTTGAAAAGTCACTAGGGGCCATTAATTTTCAATAATGGGTCTGCATGTGCTCAGACAACAAGTGGGAGATTATTTTAAACTAGTTTAAGGGGGTGCCAGGGTGGCACAGTTGGATGAGCCTCTGACTTTTGGTTTCGGCTCAGGTCATGCTCTCAGGGTCCTGGGATTGGGCTCTGCGCTCAGTGCGAAGTGTGCTAGAGATTATCTCCCTATCCCTCTCCCTCTGCTCCTCCCCTGCTCTCTCTAGCTCTCTCTCTCTAAGATAAATAAAATCTTAAAAAAAAATAAATAAACAAGTTGAAGGCTAAGAGTGCCAGGCTGTTTAGTGAGAAGAGCATGCAACTCTTGATCTCGGGATCGTGAGTTTTAGCCCCACATTGCGTGTAGAGATTACATAAATAAATAAAACGTTTTAAAAACATTTAAAAATAAACTAGTTTAAGGCTAGAAATTGACAATCTGTTGAGAAGGCAGCAGTTGCCTATCTCTCATCCTGCACTGAGGAAACACTAGACCCAGCCACAGATTGCCTCTGGAGATAGGAAGGAGTGTATGTGCCTATCTTAAAATCACAATGACCAAGAAGCAAGAAACCCAGAGAAATCTGGGAACCTCGCCAGCTCAGGCTGTGTCAGGCAAGTCTAGACTTTATACAAGGTACAAACCCCTAAGCCAGTGGGAAGAGGGTTGACCAAACTTGGGTCTCCTGACTGCAATGACTTTTCAATATAAAATAGACTAGGGGCGCCTGGGTGGCTCAGTTGGTTAAGCGACTGCCTTCGGCTCAAGTCATGATCCTGGAGTCCCGGGATCGAGTCCCGCATCGGGCTCCCTGCTCAGCAGGGAGTCTGCTTCTCCCTCTGACCTCCCCTCTCTCATGCTGTCTGTCTCATTCTCTCTCTCAAATAAATAAATAAAATCTTTAAAAAAATAAATAAATAAAATAAAATAGACTATATCTGGGGCACCTGGGTGGCTCAGTCAGTTAAGCAACTGAATCTTGGTTTCGGCTCAGGTCATGATCTCAGGGTGGTGGGGGGGGTGGTGAATGGAGCCCTGGATGGGCTCTGCACTCACTGCAGGGTCTGCGTGTCCCTCCCCCTCCCCTTCTGCTCCTCCCCCAGCCCACACTCTCTCAAATAAATAAAATCTTAAAAAAAAAGATTGTATTTATGTGTTTATTTGAAAGAAAGAGAATGAGTGGGGTGAGGGGCAGAGGAAGAAGCAGGCTCCCCGCTGAGCAGAGAGCCTGATGCAGGGCTCAATCCCAGGATCCCGATGCAGGGCTCAATCCCAGGACCCTGAGACCATGACCGGAGCCGAAGGCAGATGCCCAACCAGCTGAGCCACCCAGGCGCCCCAGTAAAATAAATAAGATCCTAAAAAAAAAAGAGACTATCTCTATCACAGACTAAGAATTCATTTTATCCTTTATTGTACCTTTTGTTTCTTGATCCTGACTTCCTTGATTCACTCAATAGGTATCTGCTGAGCTTTTTTTTTTTATGCCAGGCATTGCTCAAAAACCAGCTTATGTGTGATAAACAATAAGACAGTAAAGAAAGAACAAGATCATTTCAGACCATATAAGTGCTATAAAGAAAATAAAAGATATATGGGGTGACGAGTAGGGAGGGGCTTTTATATAAAGGCAGCTGGGGAGAGGCTTTCTGAGTGATAATTGAACGAAGAGCCAATCAGCGTAAAGATGCCAGCCATGGAAAAAACATCTGGATCTGAAGTTGTCTTAGCCTGTTCAGGCTGCTATAACAAAATACCATAGACTAGGGTCCTTATAAACAAAAGATATGTGTTCCTCACAGTTCTAGAGGTTAGAAGTCCAAGATCAGACTTTTGGTGAAGCCTCTTCTGGATTGCAGACTTCTGACTTCTTGCTGTGTTCTTGCACAGTGGAAGGGGCTAGAGAGCTCTGTGGGGTTCTTTATGGGAACACTCATCCCATCCTCTCATGACCTAAGCACCTCCAAAAGGCCCTATCTCCTCGTACACTCACATTGGCTAGGAGGATTTCAACGTATAAACTTAGGGGTGGACACAAACAGTTAGACCATAGCAAAAATGTTCCAAAAGCAGAGATTAACAAGTTCAAGACCCTGATGTGGGAATGAACATTCAAAATAAAGGCCTATATGGCTGAATTAGAATGAAGAAAGAAGGAAACGGAAGAAGGAATCAGAGAACTGGTTAGGGGACAGATCATATAGGGCCCCTTAGGCCCTATATATCCATATAACTGGGGGAGAATTCTGACTCCAAACAAAGAATTTGTATTTCCATTGAAAGAAAGACATAAAAGCTAGACAAAATATATAAAATATCTTTGAAAGGAATTAGAAAGTAACCAATGCAATTTAGGAAATGAATGGCGACACTCTTTGAGAAAAGGGATTTACACAGCCCAGATTTTTTTCTGGGTTATACTATCTAACTTGTAGCTCAAAAGAATTGAGCCCATGCAGAAAGCAACAATCTCAATGGGCCGAAAATGCAAAGGTAGGAGTTCAGAGCCCCCCAAATGGCTGGGACTTCAGGGTCAAAAGACTGGAGAGAAGAGAATCACAGAGAAAGAGCCAAAAATCTGTGAATGCATTTCTCACAAGTCTCTGGCTGACTCCTAAGCTGTGCAAGCACGGAGGAGACTCCACAAACCCAGAAGAAAACAAAAGCAGCCTCATGTGTGCTAGGGAAATAGAAGTTAGAGCTTAAACCCTGCTTAAGTATAGAAGCCTTGGTCAATGCCCTAGGCTTTAAACTGAGGCCTCAGAACGGTTACCCCCTGGGAACAAAAACCACACCCCAGGAGAAAGGACACCACCTGAGGACTGAGGGTACTGCACTAGAAGAAAAAGCAAAACTACAGTAGTCCAACCCTAATAAAGCCTAAAACATACCTCAGTGGGGTCAATGTCAACGTGACCCACTGGTACTCTGTCTACAAGAAGAAAACGTCAGGAGGGGAAGAATGAAGGGGGGGAAATCGGAGGGGTAGACGAACCATGAGAGACGATGGACTCTGAAAAACAAACTGAGGGT